CCATTCTTCCAGAATGTCACACGTCATGCATCATCCTTCATCTTCTTGGAGAAACAGAGCAGGAAATTTACATCTTGGCATTGCTGAAGCCACTCACGAAGATTGGTGCTCAGCTAGGATGGAGGGAAGGCATGAGGTGGGGACAGAGCCAGAAAACACACCGGTATTGTTTGAAGGCTGAGCTGTTACATGCTGTATTCACAGTGTTTCACCTTTAGCTTCCATACTGCTTTTTGCAGAGTGATTTTCAGAGGAGGCACAGGTTGGCATATAAAAAATGTAGAGGGGGATAAAAATTTTTCCATATTATCAGCAAATCGCTTGAAGGAAGAAAATTCATTTCTGTCTTCTGTTCTGTGGACACTGCATTGTACACTGCACAGCAAATTGGGATACTTTCGCAATTGAGACTGCAATGCTTTATTGTCTTAATAACACAACTGCAGAGTAGGAAAAAAAAAACAAAACAAGACAAAAAAACAGACCAGAGGTGTAAGTGTTTGTTTAAAAACAGCTGCATGGTGGTATTTCTTTAGTTTTTAAGGTAATTGCAAAAGGCAAGCACAGTTTTGAACAGAATTGACTCACTTGGCTGCAGAAGGAAGAGAATGACAGGGCTGTATGTAGAGAAGTACATCCTTTGATGTGCCAATCCTGTCCTTGACTGGAGAGAAGCACCATCTGATCAGGTGCAAATGTAAGAGCATCTTTCTGGAGAAAAGATGATAACTTTTCAAAGTAAACAGCATGTGAGCACGTGCGTCTGACTTATCTCAAACTCACTCTTAGTTGCTTTAGGATATGTGATTGTAAAGGAAAAAACAGTGGTGTGTGACCTATTAAAATCATATAATCCATCCGTTCTGTGGTCATTATGGTGACTCAACAGGCTAAGTATTGACCTATTGCCGAGCGACTGCAAATTTGTTTCCCAGACTTGGTTTTGGGAGTGGTTTCTGCAGCTTAACGTTTAGGGGAATGAAATATGGTCATGGGTAAAACTTTCAAAATTGGCCAACGGACTTGGGAACCCAAACCCCATTTTTTAAGATTATGTAGAGTGTGCAAACTTATGAGACCCTTAATTTGCAGTGGAACAAAGAACTGAGATTTCAGCAGTTTCTCTATATCTAATGTGCATTCTTGGGATCTAAAATGCTTCATAAGCTGCTGTGTATGTAAGTCGCTTTTGAGAATAAGAGCTAAGGGAAGATACTCGAACCTAAGTTTCCTTTTGTCCCATAGATTCCAAATTCTTTCAGATGCCCACTGCTGGTGATGGGTGCAAATCTGGAGAAAGGAGCATGGCTACTTCTGTTGATGAGAGGCAAAAACCATTTTGTTTTCTAAGTTCCCAGTGTTGTCAGCCCCGCTGTTCATTGTTGCAGTTGTGCTGAGTGGGAAGAGATGAAAGCACCATTTGGAGGCGAAGGTTGAATGTCTTCAGATGTTGAGCTGCAGTGCTCAGCAAGTGGACTGTATCAGAAGAAGCTGGGGGCTGTTGCCTTAGCAGTGGTTTTGCTGTCTTCTGTGTTATGCTTTTGATAATTTCCTTGGGCTGTAACATCTTTGTCTGAGTTGTATGAGAAGAAAAGAAAAAAAACAAGGGAATCCGAGTTTGAATAAAGCAATTCCATTGCTTGACATGGTGCATTTGGTGAAGTGTAGTATTCTCAAAACCTTTGTTTGCCCTCTGTGCTGTGGAGCTGTTTCGTATACTACCAAAACACACCACCAACACCAGCTGCAAAAAATAAACTGAAATCCAGGATCCAGAACCCTTTAAAACTGGAATGAAAATGCAGATAGGCAATGTCTGGTGATCCCAAACTGATAATTTGCCAGGGTTCCAGTCAGTGTGTTTAGAAACCATGCACTGCCAAACATTCAGTGGGGTTGTTGCCACCTATCAGTAACAAATAGAGTTGACTGGATGTTCTTAAAAAAAAAACAGTTTATCATCATGAGGTTTTATTTTTCTAAAAACCACAGTTAAATGATAGCCACTGGCACAGTACTGCTGTTGATACTAGCAGATGTTGGCCTACATCCTTGTTATTCATCTGAACTCTTTAAATTTGGAGAAGGGGAAGCATCCTTCCTCTTATCATATCATCCTCTTTTGTTTCAACTCCCCAGAATAATGTGTGTTTGCAGTGTCCAGGACATTGAAACTTTTGGCTTCTTTTGTAGTATTAGACATGACAGAAAAAGCTTTAAGCTAATTCAGAATGCCACTGAGCATATTATATACACATATTTCTGCAACTTGAAGCAGAAGAGCAAATTGAAATCTGTTCAAATTAAGGGTCTGGGTTTCCTGAGTGTAGAAGGACCAAAAAGTTAAAACTGTATGAGGGAGTTTGGTCCAGTATGAAGTGGCTGGTGCACGATCCCAGGAGCAGGTTGTAGGAGCTGGTTTTGTGAATTTAGAGAGAGCTGTAGGACCTACAACACACTTAATATTTTGGTCTTATAGTTTATCTTTCATGTACAGTGGAAATGTATTTCCTTAAAAAAAGAGAAGGGCTTTGACAGCTGCAATCTAAGAGACACTGAAAAGCTGAAGAGTTTGGGTTAATGGGCAAAAGATCTTTTCATGACTTCTTGCTTACTTTTCTAATACAGAGCTGCAAGTTTAGTGAAGTCAATGAGAACTTCCTTTGGCACAAGGATCACATCCTAGAGCTTTACATTAGACACACATTTGTAACATATGTGGGATGGGAGATGTATAGAAGAAATACATTTGTCCGTTTCCAGTTCAAACTCAGCCTCAATTCCTGAGGTTGATCCCCACTGCCAACAATGAAACCATCATTCAATCTCTAGTCCTGTTGATGACAGCAATGGTATAACTGTGGTGGACAGCTTTCAATGTTGTGTCATCTGAGTGCAATTAGAAGATGTGGTGATAAAACCTATGTCTCTGAATCCGGTCCACACCCTTTGCCAGAGCTTCCAAAGATAAATTTTGGTAGGTGATAGCCAGTTTGAGGAGAGGAAGTGTTCAGGGGAGGAGGCAGGATGTTTTAATAAAGTGCAAAATGCTTTCTCCCTTTTTTTTTTTTTTTAAATCTTCCCCACATTTCACTTTGCAATCCAGTTGTTTGCTAACAAACTTAATATTCATGCTGCAGTTGTGATTGTTTAGCATTGCTATTGATTTGTTCGTGTGATGAGAATCTTTGGCTCCAGCTAGAGAACTGATTTGTTTCACATATTGACAGTGTAGTCCATTTAGTAACTGCATAGGGCAGGTTTTTCATCTGGAGTATGTTTTCACAGGCAAGTCAGAGGAATGGTAGCAATATTTATGCTGTTATTTGTAGTCCAGGTCATGAGCTGATAGGAAATTGTAAAGTAGGATTGATATCTTCCCATCCTCTCCACTCTGCTGTGGGCTGATCATTCAGTTTCACAGGATATGACAATTCAATCACAGCACAGTGGCACGGTGAATAATACTAAATCATCCAGGAAAAGTGTTAAACACACTTCCCTCTCATGTGACATGCAGGAGGGTTAATTTTAAAGGAGTGTGAGCAAAGAAAAATGTGTCACACTTCCCAGTTGTAGGAAGGATCAGGAATAAGGGGCGTGTGAATAGATGTGTACGTTTAGAAGCTGATTCAGTTTTAGAAAGGGACTGTTGGCAATATAGTGATGAACACGATAGAAAACAGGTTAGAAACTTTGAGCTCTAACTATAATTAAAGCTCGGGGCCTGATAGTTTTTTTTATTTTTACATTAAGGACAGGGTGCTCTTCTCAAGCCAGGTTTTTCAGCATCAAATCAATGTAAGGATATGAAGAGAGAATCTTCTCTCTAACTTCTCACCCTCGTGCTGCTCAACTCCACAGCCTTCTTCAGATGACCTTCAGCTTGATTTGCAAGGAATCACATGCCTGCAGGTTGCCAAGTTCTCTCTCTCAAGGTATTTTTACCTGTTGCTCTTCTTTACTTGAAGGGGAAATTATTTTCTTCAGGGTGTTTTTAAGGTATGGTATAGTGCTTGGCATGCTGGGGGGGTGCGAAGTCTGCATGGAACAGAGCCACATTGTGCAACATTCTGGCTCCCCTAGAATAAGGAGCATTATGCCTGCACGACATTGCATAACCTGAGCGTAACACTGGGCAGTGAAACCTCTCCTCACCACTGCCAAGCAGACCTGTTTATTTCAGTTGTTTTTGTTTACTGCCACGTTTTCAAGGTCTCCTGAGGGAGATGCGTGTATGTTGAGAGAAGAGTTTAGGTTCCATAGGAAACTTTGTCCTCCCACGGCTGTTTTCCCAGTAGCGTGGTTGCTTTCTGATATCTGAGAGCCACAGGTCAAGGACAGGGTTTTCTGGCAGGAGTTCTTTCCCATGCATGAAAGAACAGAAAGCTCAACATGTGAGACAATCTTTGTGTACAGCAGTGTATTGCCTGCCAGAGTTGGTACCTGTTATACTTTCATACACAGGAGCAAATTAGGGGTTTCCAACAGCAGCACAACTGTCTTTGTCCAAAAAATAATTTGTGACAAGTGGTACTAAGAAAGAATCAGTTGTTTCCATCTGGATTTGTTTTCATTTTTTGTAAATGTTGATCCTTGACAAACATTTATTTGAGAATCAATTTAATCACTTTTTGAAGGTTATGTGCATATATCTGGCTTTATGTCTCTCTTGATTGTTAAAAGACACATCCCTTGTGCCACAGAAAGTGAACAAAGTAATAGTAATTTTTGCAATTCTTGTTTTTACTCTGATAATTTTACTAGCTATGTTCATATGGTCAGTAAGACTTGCTTTTGTAGCTTAGCAGTGGGCATATTTCTGCTATTTTAGATTTTGTTTTCTAATTCTCATGACTTTCTGAATTTCTGGCATCAAAACACAAATTTGGCAGGCACTTTTTGGCAGGCACAATTTTTACAGTACTCATACTGTAGTCATTACAGTTTTTCAATCATTGACTATTAAGATTTCACATGCCTCAGGATCTACATAGCTGTGCGTTCCATGAAAGCCTATTTTATCCCTATCATGAAATGAAATTTACCCTCACATTCTAGCATGGTCTAGAGTGTATTTTGTGAGCCAAATCCAGCCCAGAGGGACTCCCAGCTCAATAGCTCCATGCTGCTGTGATCGTTTTCCGACACTACTGTACTGGAAAAGTAATGTAAAAGTCACCATACAGGTGTGCAGATGCACACTATGTGTGTGTAGCATGCTTCTCTTGCAACATAAAACAACAAAAATGGTAATAATTTCTAATCTGTCAGAAGAACTTAGAGACTTTAGCAATTAAGACAATCTGGATTATTAGAGGCTGTGGATATACTCAGCAAACCAGTCTAAATCTGAAGCTTTCTGGATATGTCTTTAAATAAAAATGTGTTTCAAAACTTAATAAAAATGTTTGGTCCATCCCTTATGTCTCCAAAGAGCCATCTAAAGGCTACAGGATACATAAGAATGCCAAGGTTTTAGAACTATGGAAGAGTGGGAGTCACCTTCATTGCTGCCTTCTTTTGGATCTTTGGAACTTCAGTGCAACAATTTTCATCTAGCTTCGCTGCAGTTGTAACTGTCTTTTAATGTGAAATATTCCTTAAGTTCATCAAACTTCATTGTCCTTCTGAGCTGGAAGGTAACACTGCACGTTTACTGGATATTTTATTTTCTATATGTATTATGTATCCAGAGGGCAGTTCATAATGAAATGTGACACTGCAACTGAAGGCAAAACGATGCAGAAGAACAGAATTACCACATGCACTGCAATGTCACATATTAAGGCTAGTTATGATTAACTTTATTTCTTTACCCTATTAACAAGACAAACAAAAAAAATCCACTGTGGTAAAGCTCTGCATAAGTGACCTTAAGGTCACTCGAATAGTACAAAAGTGATGCATCCAGAAATGGCTGTACTTGTTGGTTGACTTCTTGTGTACTAAAATGCTTCTGGGAATCTGCATCTTTATAACTACTGCCAAGTATTATTTCATATTTTTGAGTACATGTTCAAAACGCACCATCAACATATTTTGTAAAGTTAACATTAAAGAAATGAAAGTTGTGTGGTATCTGTAACAAATATACTCGGTTGCCTATTGCAAACAGTTTTCTAATTGTTTTTGTTTGTTTGTTTGATTACTTTGTTGGGTTTTTTTGTTTGTTTTGTTGTTTGAAGAATTAATTTTCCTTAAGGCTTTAATGAGGTAAAAAAAAGAAAGCTCCCTCAAACCACCTCTGCAGAATGGTACAATTTAGCAGTGGGATAAAGGAGAAAAATCTCTGCTTTTGTACTGCTCTGTTCTTATTCTGTGACTGGGATCAGTTACAGAGCAGAAATGTTGTGAGGTCACAATGAAGAGACCCTTAGAGTAGGGTTTCAGTCTCTGATGTTGCCCATATCTGTTAGATCTGGTACAAACAAGCAGTTTGTTGTCCTCCTGTCATTTCTTTGTGGGAGTTCAGGGTAAGGTTGCTACTTCGTCTGAAAATCACGTAGTTCAGCAGGTGAGAGTGTTCCTAAACACGTGGTGCACTTGCATTTGCTATTTATTATCAGGAGTTTTGGTGAAACCCTGCACAGGAAGGTTGGTGCTAGGTTTATATTGTTATAGCTCCTGAAGAGCTGGGAGTTTCATAGGATTGTACACTTACAGAGTGGTTTGGCTTGAAATGGACCTTAAAACTCATCCAATTCCAACTCCCTGTCTGCCCCTACACCAGGTTGCCCAGGGCCTCATCCAACCTGGTCTTGAATACATCCAGGGCTGGGGCATCCACAGTTTCTCTGGGCAGCCTGTTCTCTTTAAGTAGTCTGTCTGCACAGATACCTTGTTGTTTCAGAAATGAGTGTTTCTGAGAGGGAATGGCTAGGTTCTACAGTAGTTTTCAGAGCACTTTTGTTCCTGGCAGTGCTAAAGACTTCTAAACAGTTGTATGGTTCACAGAGTTAATGCAATGAGGGCAGCAAAGTAAGATCTCATTTTTTATTCTTTCAGTATCTCCTAAAACCATTTGCAACTGTGGTTTTATCATATTCAGATACTTTTTTTTTTTTGCCAGGAAACTTATGATTCTACCATACTGTTAGGCAGCCAGCACTGGAAAGTTTATTCATGCTATGCAGTTATGGTAATTCTCAGAGGATGTTTATTATTTGGAAAACGGAGTTCCATACAGGATGAGGAATTCTTACTACAATTAGTTCTCAAATTAATGTATCACCGCTTTATTAAATCCAGATTTCTTGGCCTGCATCTTCTGTACAAAAATCTCATATCTTTATTCTTGTCAGTGGTGGCATCAGGGGACTAGGAAGCCTCTATTTATCACGTCAAATACCTGTACACATAAACACAGAAGAATCTGCAAAGCGAGACCAGTTTGTTACCTTGCCTTTCTCAGGAAAGAGTGAAGATTGGGCAAAGTGCTTGATAAAGTGTGGAGGTGTGGTGGCTGCTGTACTTTTCATAGAGAAAAAAATTGTAGGAGACAATAAAAAGGGACAAGAGCAGGAGAGAGGAGGCATGCCTTAAGTTTATTTTTCTTGATTTTGGGCTGTGAAAATCCATAGAAAGCTTTTGCATTTTAGAAAATGTCATTTAAAATCTTAAGAAAGCAGGAGAACAGTATACGTATGATGTTTGCTGAGAATTGTGTGTCATATCTGAACAAGCATCAAATACATAGCCAAAACTTTGCATAAGTCATTATTAGCCTGAGCTGTTTATGTAGAAATTAAGCTTTGTTGCAGCTGATCTTAGCAGACTGCATACCACCACATTCATTCTGCCTTGTGATATGCCTGCAGTTTGGAAGACTGAGGGCAGACATTACCAACACGGGGCTTTGTTGGCATAGAAAGCCTTCTGCATCCTCATCCTCTGCTTCTCTGGTTGCTGCTGAAGGAGGTCTGTCTCTCCCCAGGTCCCTCAACAGTGTCAACACCATACAGAGAACACAGTTATTTGTATTTTTAAAACAGGAATTATTTTATAATAGTATTTATTAAAGCTGTAGTAATGGTAAAGGAAGCTTGTTTTTAGATAGCTCAAAGAAAACTGTGGCTCCATGCCAGTATAATATAATACACATGTCACTGGGCTGTGTGTTGGGAAAACACCCCAAAATGAGGCAGATGTACCTGTTTGCTAAAGACTTCAGTGTGTATTCGTGTCAGATGCTAAATGGTAAACCTATTTCTGTCATGTTTTACTCAGCATGAGTAGTCTAAACATGTTCAATATGTCTAGTGACCTTTCCCTGAGTCATGGAAAACTTTCAGCAGTGCCAGCGCTGTATATTTATACCGATATTATTTACAGGTCTTGTCCTCCTTGCTGTTGGTTCTTAGAACTGCCCCTGAATGAAAAATAAATATGGCAGGTTTTTAATACAATTAAAATGGCTATAGACTTTCTTAAAAATAAGAATGTATTCTTAGCTGCTCTTGCTTTAGCTGATTGCTTTGTCTTCTGGAATTGTTGTTTCTGTGATGATCTGACAGATAATCTGCAAATTCCCTGTCAGTGTGCTGATGAGTACCCTCAAGCAAGTACTCAACAGTTTGAAGAGAAAGGTTTTGGAATGTACATTCATCTCTTAAATATTATATATTTCCAATCCAGTTGATTTTAGAACATCCTGAGCCCTGTCTATGTAGAGCACATTGGTAGTTGTCATTTTCAGTGTAGACTCTCCTAGCATGATGCAACAGTTCCGTTGCTGTAGCATTTACAGCTATATGTTTAAAGGTAGATCATTATGTTGTTCTGTTGTGTTTTTTTTTTTTCCAGATGAATCCACCATTGATTTTCACTCCTGTAATTTCCCTTCTGTTGTCTTTAAATACCATTTCCTTAGGATATTGTTTTAAGGAAGCTTAAGATTGATAGGATAAAACAAATCAAATCAAGCTCTTCCATGTGTCTACCTCTGAATGCTTTGTGGCCACCAGTTCCCTTTTTGTTTCCTGCAGTGCTTCGTGGATATTGCTTACAGTCTCCCTACAAATAAAACATGCGATAACTGCTGGAAGCTCCTCACGTAAGGTAGAGAAATTGCAGCTGTAATAATGAGAAGCACAATAACTCAATAGAGAGCAATAAAATAAATTAATAATAATAATAAATAAATCCACAGTTTTAACAAGTAGTTTGGATTTTTCACTATTCCCCCTGAATTCTAAGTATGCACCACCTGAATCTCGTCCCCTCAGACCTGATTTTAGGCTGTTTGTGCAGGACTTTTGACTCATTCAGTCACTGGAAACAATGAGATGGTGAAGTCAGGATTAATTGTAAAAGTGCAGAGAGATGATAGACTCATACAGTCCTTACAGTTGGAAGGGACCTTTAAAGATCATCTAGTCCAACTCCCCTGTGATGAACAGGAGCATTCAGAGTAAGATCAGGTTGCTGAGAGGCTGGTGCAGCCTGGCTTTGGATGTCTCCGGGGATGGGGCTTCCACAACATCTCTGGGCATACTGTTCCAGTGCTCACCACCCTCACTGTAATATACTTTTTCCTTATATCTAACCTAAAGCTACCCTCCTTAAGTTTGAAACTATTTCACCTTGTCCTATCACCACATAACCAGCTAAAGAGTTTGTCTCTTTTCTTATTGCCCCTCTTTAGGTACTGAAATGCTATTATCAGATTACCTCAGAGCCTTCTCTTCTCCAGGCTGAACTACTCCAGTGCTCTTAGCCTGTCCTTGTAGAAGAGGTGTTCCATTCCTTGGATCACTTTTGTGGACCTCCTCTGGACGCTCTCCAACAGGTCTATGACTCTCCTGTGCTGAGGACTCCGCATCTAGATGCAGTATTCCAAGTGAGGCCTCACCAGCACATAGTAGAGAGGCAGGATCCCTCAACCTGCTGGCCATGCTTCTTTTGATATGGATACGGTTGGCTTTTTGGTCTGCATGAGCACATTGCTGGCTCACATCCAGCTTGCCATCCACCAGTACCACCAGGTCCTTTTTGACAGGGTTGTGTTCAATCCTTTCCTTTCCCAGCTTGTATTGGCAGTGGGGATTGCTGTGACCCAGGTGCAAGACCTTTTACTTGGATTTGTTGAACCTCATGAGGTTCTCCTGGATCTGCTGCTCAAGCCCGTCTCAGTCCCTCTGGATGGCATCCTGTCCCTTGAGCATGTTGACTGCATTCCACAGCTTTGTGTCATTCCCAAACCTGCTGAAGTGCACTCCACTCATCACTGATCTCAGTCCAGACATTGAGTTATTGCCCACCACTCTCTGGGTTCAGTGCTGCAGCCAGTTCTTTGTCCATCAAACAGTCCACCCATCAAATCCATATCATGCCTGTCTCCACTTCCACTGCCTGCGCATCTTCTTTGTGATGGGGATCATCAGTTTGCCCAGAGAAACTGTGGATGCTCCATCCTTGGGAGTGTTCAAGGCCAGGCTGAAAGAGGCCCAGGGGAATCTAATCTACTGGGAGGTATCCCTACCATTGCAGGGGGGTTCATTTAGATGATCTTTAAAGGTCCTTTCCAAATCAAACCATTCTGGCATTCTATGACTATCTGAGCTGGCACTATCCTTCTAATCCTCAGGCTCACCGTGAAATAAGAATGAAAGTTCTGTCCTCTGCAGAGACCCAGCAGAGAGAATGGGCAATCACTACCACTGCTTTTGGGAAGACTCAGAAAATTTTCACCTAAGTTTTTTCAGTACTTCTGGGTAGGCAGCAGTGTTGAGGATCCAAGTCAGTCATACAACTGTATGTATCAGAACTTAGTGATGAAACTTGCCTGTTACCAGAAGAAGGAAGCAGCCATCAGTATTCTAAGATCAGATACATATAAGGCTGAGAAGGTCTCTGAGTTGCCGAAAAACCTGTTCCTCCTTACTGGAGAAGGAAAGCCTTATTTGGAATGTCTCTGACCCCTGCTTTTCTTAACACTTCTCATAAAATTTGCAACTTAAGAAGACACAGAAACCTTTTCTTTGCAAAACCTGCACATACAGAATATCTCAACTCTCTTAACTTTGTATTATGTTCTGAGCAAGCTTACCATGTCATACTTTAGTCTTGGTTTTGTAGACTAAACATGCCCAGTTTTTTCACAGGTCATCTTCTTTAAACATCACATTGTTCCTGCTGTTCCCTGGACTATATCCAGTCTATTTATCTGTTCCCTTACATGGCATCCAAAACAAGGAGCATTACCACTCTGACCTCATCAGGGCTAATAAATGTCCTCCCATGTCTTGCATGTGATGCTGCTGTTAATGGGTCTAAGAACGAGATCTACTTTTTGGCAACAGGTCTGTATCCTGATTTATCTTTAGTTCATCATCTGCAGGACTCACAGATGCTCTTGTTCAAAGCTACTGACCAAGCAGTTATTCCACTTTTTATCTTTGTGAATTTGTATAGTCCTCGTCCTTTGTAACAGTTTGCACATGGTGATGCTGATCATAATTTTTTTATGTACATTCCAGCTGATCAAGATGATCTGGATAAATCTGATGTTCTTTAATGTACTTGAGACCCTTTCTAACTGTTTCACTGGTGAAGTACAGTTTTCAAGAAAGCCAGTACTGACTGAAAACAGGCCTGATGGATCTGTTTTGGAGGAGAAAGGTATTTCCTTTTTAAATGGCTTTTCAGTATTGACACTGAAAGCTTTTAGCTATTTCCTTTTCCCACAATAAAGCGTTTTGTGGATTGGAAGTTTCTTTACTATATAATGGGAAAGAACTAAAATCATTATGTGCTTATGGAGATGTGGGCAGAAGAATGGGTAAATGTAAGACTCAATTAGTACACGAGGGTTTCAATCCTCTGCTTTTAACTTTCTAATCACAATATGTTCCCTATAGTAAGGGCTGTACTCTGCTGTCTTCCTGCTTACATCTTTGTGCCATTCCTCAGCCTTAAATCTGTTCCTGTTAAGGCATGTTGTCCTTCTCTGTCTGGAGTGAAGGTACTTCTGATTGAGCCAGCACTATAAACTAACCTTTCTAAATCATCGCCATTTGTTGCACCACAGGTCATCAGATATGTGTTCAAAATGTCATTTGCATTATAGCCATGGAGCAATTAGTATTTGTCTCTAATTCTGTGTTTTTTCTCATGCAGGCATTTCTTTCTTTTCCATAATTCTTTATTTTCCACACTTTCAGTTAACTTCATCTGGACTTTTCATGCACGCAACTCTCTGTATTCGAATCCAGTCACTAATTTATGTGCCCAGCAAACAGTATTATTTTTTATTTATAGCTGTTGAAGGAAAAAGACCTGCACAAAGAATAATGGATGAAACAAAGAAGTTATTTTTACGTTGGAGGTGGGGAGGGAGAATGAAGTGCAGTGCCAGAACTTCAGGTTGCATTTATTTTCAGTGAAGTGAATCTCCATCTTCCACAAATTTTTATTTAAAAATAAACTATACTCAGATCTTTGGATAAAGATGTTAGAAAGCTAAAGTGTACTTAACTTTCAAACTGTGTTGTCTGATTATCCTAGCTGGCCTGACTTCCAGAATCCCTTGAAAATAGATCTAGTGTTTTTATTTTTATTTTTTTTTACATTGGACAGATATCTGAAAGGCCTGAATCATCCCTTTTAAGGAAATCATTGCAGATGGAAGATGGAAATCATTACATCTTGGGGAAGTAATCTGGTACAAGTGAACATCCTCACAAGTTTTTCCAGGGAATGTTCCACCATGAAGTAAGAGTTTGCTCTATCAGAAGAGAGACCTACTCACTATCTGTTGTAAAGGGCAATCTGTTCTTCAAACTTTTCTATTATTTTTATCCAGGAGCTCATACTGAAGAGCAGCTAACTGGCCAAGTATGTGGGTGATGGAATTTACAATCTAAGTGAAGAGGAACATAGCTCTCTTGGATTTCACGTGTTCCCTGTTGATAATATCTGAAGATCCTTTTCTGTTTGTTTGTGGAAGTTAAGATACATACACACATACATATACATATACGTGCCCATTCCAGCTGCAAAGATTATGTTTATTTTTCATTCTTTCTTTATTCAAAAATAAATGTCTTTTAGGGGGAGATTGTTTAAGTTTATTTATTTGTGATTATGGACCTTATTCTGTTATGTCTTTCTTATGTGTAGAATAGATACAATCATACAGGGGCAAAGCTAAAATCCGAATTAATGTGCTATCTCTAAGCCTGATTCAGAAGAAAGTGAAATAACACCATATAAATCTCACAATTACAGGTAAAATTCAAAACAGGAACACAGGTATGTCTTTTCTGTATCCTTGTTCTTTTGGGAATTACTCTAACTTATTGTAAGCATGATTTTTCTGGCTATCTCCCCATGTTAAACTTCTGCTTACTTTTTTTTTTATTTTTTTTATTTTAAGTTTTTCCAAGCTCAGGGAGTGCCTTAATATAATTGCATTCTCAAAAGAACATTTTATGCCTCGGTTTTTAGCATCTGTTCCTTCAATTGAATTATTTACTTCCCTTCTGTATATAATGCAATGGGAATGAAAAGCATAATAAATAAACAAATGGTAATGTACCTCTGTCATTTCCCTCCTTGCCATTCTTTGCTTTCTGAGCTCTCTAATATATATTGAGATGAGAGTCCTGGCCTTGCTCATTCTTTTTGGTTCTTCTCTAAGCTCTGCTGTGACTTCCAAGTAAACTTTATTATCATTAACTTGCTCAGCACAGCAAGACCTCACTAGCCTCTTTACAAACCCAGAACAAGAAAATAATCTCTGACCTCAACTATATTTTGATTTTATATGGCTCTGCTAGGATATACAGTGTTCCCTAGGAGATGATTCCACTGATTCATTTAAAAGCATTATGGTATTCTGACTGCATCTTTCAGTGCTAATGTTTTGAGGTATGCTGTTGTCTACTGACGGGCTCAATTCACAAATATACCATTACTTATGGAAATGTAGAAGTGCCTTCCATTAAGGACAGTGCATATTTTGGCCCCTTGCAAAACACAGCTCCCTTAAACACAATACTTCATTGTTTTCCTGGATTTTGACTTAAGTTGGAATGCGTTGTACTCGAGGGCACCACTTGATGGATCAGGTTGTTTATTACGGAATATCAGATTGCCAAAAGGAGACAGCCAGAGAAAGAGCATTTTTTGCTGAATAAATTTCCCTTACTATTTGCCAAGTAGCCAATCTAATTTATGGGGAAAAAAAAAAACCAAAAACAAAAGCAATTAAAAGAATAAGGTATTGCATAATTTTTACTGAGTTTTGTAATTAAAGTCAACGAAATATGTAATCTTTGAATTAATGAAGCTCTGATTTTCCAGTTTTCATTTACTATTTTTATGACTTTTTCACTAAATGAAGTTCAACATTAATAGAATTTATTCTATGCCTGATTCTCTCTGTTTCAAAAACTGGTAATGCTGTCAGAGTTCCTCACATACCATGCTACTTAGACACCTGATACAGAGGGCTTGGTCATCTTGAAAATTAAAAAAAGGGCTTTTACAATCTGTGAATGATTTAAGTCAGTCTAAAAAATACTGCTTCTACACAGTATCAGATTACATATGCTGTCACATGTATTTGCACAATACTATATTTGTACAATATACCATAGTCCAGCATCGCTGCCAAACATGTGAGATCAAATATGGTAAATTACTGTTGTTCTTGAGGTTTGATACACCAAAAGAAAAACAGAAGTCTGAAATTACCGAAACTTCATGGGAAAGAGGAAAGGAGTTCCCAGAAATATACTGAGAAACGAATGCTTCTCAGTTTTGAAATGAGATATCCAGAGCTTTCCAAAAGCAGATGAATGTTCTTGACCTGAAGAGTGTTTATCAACTGTCTGAATGTCTGCTTAGCAGCTTCGCTCCCTTGAAAATGTTCTTAATCTGAGAAGGTGAGAAGATGAGATTCTGTTGCCATCTTTCTAGTGGAGGTCTCCATTCACTTAGTACATCTTTCCTCAATAATAAGTCTGGTATTGATATGATAATTTTATGGGCTATGTTATCAAAAGATAACTCTAAAATTACAAAGGAACCAGTGTGTGTACAGAAGAAAGGATTTGTTTGGAGTGGTGTTAGTAGAATTTCCTCTAGTTAGAAATGTTTCTGACTTCTTTCACAGTGTTTAATAGTGCCCTTTTACAAATAGAGCTGGCAAAGAATGAAATACTACTACAATGGCAGACAGATGTTCCAAGCTTTCGGTTAATCTCAAACAATAAGGCAAAGTTAGCTTTGAAATAATTGCAGAAAGCTCAACTTGATACCTTAAATATCAAATGCTGTTCCCTGCTGAGCAATACAATAGTTCCGATGCAAATAATACATAACATTTTGCTTTCATTTTTTCCAATTGCTTTATAATAATTACTGAGTACTCTAAGTTCTGACTAATGTGAGTGGAAGTTCTAAGGATACAATGGCTGCAGCTGGGAGAACTGAGTCAGCAGGTTAAAATCCTGGACACATAAGACCACATGTCTTTGCAGGAAAGGAAAGTCTGTTTTATGAAAGCCATTGTTCTGTTGTTTTGGGGGACAGGATTTGTGTTTTTGTTCTTTGTTAATACAAAGCCTAGCACAGCTGATCCTTGATCTCTGATTAGTGACTCCTTGGTGTTACAGCAATCAAAAAACAAATAACAAGAACAGAATCTCGGGGCTCCCATGTTGTTAAGTTACTTGTCCAAATCCGCAGAGCAAAATGATACCAGCCAAATTTTAAGCACACGGAATTTCTTTCACCTCATCTCAACCTCAAACCTCTGTTTTGTTTCTCTATAGCAGGTAACTCTGTCTGAAGTGTTTCAGTGCATCCCATAGGCCTTGGCATTGCTGCTGCCAGCACTTCTGTTCCCCTAGCTCATACAAAGGCCACTTGGCTGCTCCTTCTTTCTAGGCTTGGCGACTGGGAGACAGCAGTGGAGGTGGAGAAGTGAATGATGGGAGTGGTGAGGATGTGTTGGACTGAACACTACCTGATGTGCTTGAGCACTGATAGCAGGGTGCTACAGCACCTTTGTGGCAGGACATGAAGCAAAGCAGTTAGCATGGTTTTGAGTCTCGTGACTTTTTTCTTACTAGTATTAAGTATTCACTTCAAAAGTGAATTTATTCTTTTGGATTGCATTGATAACGTGCAATTCAATGATCCATTCAAAATACAGGTAATCAGATAAGTTCACTGGTCTCTTCCCTAGAAAAGGACTTTCCTCAAGTCAGGAGAGCAGGATACTGAGCACAGTGTGTATCCCACCTACTTTTAGCAAAGTCAGTGGGATTGTTTGCATAAGATGTGGTCCAGTGTTAAGAAATTATTTAATGTATAGGAGCAAGAAACGTGTATGTCTTAATGTCTTGGAATTCATCCATTTTCAGGCCCAGACAAAGGGAGTATTAAGAACAGCAAGAGAGACCCATCAGGCGCATAGTGTACAAAGGGTGTGAGGCATGGGATAGAATAGTACAGAATAGGACAGGAAAGAAAGGAAATAGTCTCAGTTGGACAAATAAGGTAACTTATCCAAGTAACTTCTGCAGATCTGCCTGATTGTGCCATGTGAGGGGGTTATGGCTTTCTTGAAATTAAAGTTTAAGAAATGAAATCGTTATAAAAATAAAATAAGGAGTGGGCACAGGCTACAAATATGTTACTTCTTTAGGGGAAAAAAAAAAAAAAAACCTAATTAAAAATAATTTCCTCCTCTGTTTCTTTGCCAAGCCTTATTTTCAGGAGTCTGTGCTTTCCTTCATGCGGCCAGTGAAATCTCAGGCACCTAGAGCAAATAGAGGCAGTACACTTAGGACTTGGCTGTTACAGAAAAAAAGAGGAAATGATTTTTAAATATTTTGTTTTAAAATATGCTAGATTGTAATTTTTATATCCACACACATTTTATTATTAACTTTGGCTGGTGCACGGTTCCCTTTATGAAACAACAGCTTAACCCTTCACCTTTCATGTGCAGTTAAACTCAGATCCTGTGCAAACTTGTGTTTCTGTGCTCACTATTTTCAGGACACACACGTGAGCAATTCTATTTAAAATTGAGATGTGAGGTACATCAAAGTTGATTAGTGACAGTACAGATAAGTTCACCTGCTTATCCTTATTCACACGAGTGAAGCCACACTCTGTGGTTCTTATCTTGTCTGTGTGCCGCTATTCATGCCAGTAGTGCATCAAATCATATCTTTGGTATTTGTGCCACAGTTGTTCCCTCTGCCTCTCCGGGAAGCAGAAATGTGGGTGGTGGAGCCTCTTGCCCTGCAGAATGTTTGCTACAGAGATGTCTGGTGATGAGCTGGATTTGTTTGCATTTTTCAAATTCTTGTTTTCATTGTTGTTGTTTTGGAATGCACACATTGCCATCTGCATTTAGAAGGCAAAGTCAAGAAAGCAGACTTCTCTGGATTGTGAGCTTCTGCAATTATTTAGATGATCTTACTGAAGTCACAGTGGCTATTTATGTGCTAGAAATTCAATGTATGCAAACTGAGGTTTGAGCTACTGTTTTGTTTGAGTAAAGGTGGCAGCTTGTGTCCCTCACACAAGGACATCAACTCTTGGGTTTTTATATATAGAACATAAAATGCCTCTTCCACGAAACTACTTATGAAAGAAACAATAGAGAAACACAAATAATGAAAAAAGTATTGTTAAAAATGCACATGAAATTTCTGTGGGAAATAAGTTTTAATTGAGGACTTAAAGGAAAAAAGAAACGAAAGCATATACATTTTATTGCCAATAGTTTATACCACTTAATTAATGTATACATTTTTGTTGTTTCACAAAACAACTATATAATCACTCAGATATCTCAGGTATTGTTAGTCTCGTCAGCCTTATTCTGCTTTCTTGAGAGTGGCTGGGCAGCCAGCTGAACAGTGGTTGAGACATTAGAGCCTGGTTACAAACAACAGTAAGTGTATGTTGGTTTTCTTGTGACTATTCTCTGGTCTGAGTATGAGGCAAAAGTTACAGATGTGGTTATTTGAAAACAGGCTTGGAGTTATATGAGGAACTAAGTGATTCATCAGTAGATCATCACAGATCTGCAACTTTGACTAAGATGACGGCAGATGAGCTTAGGCTCATATGAGCTTTCTGTCATGGTTATCACAAAAAACAGGAATATTTTATTAAGATTTAGTTTACCACAGGGAAGCTAATATACAATCAGCCTCTGTGTGAATCTTGTTAATGTGCCCAGTGACTTACTTCCTCCCAGAAAGCTGAATAAGCTACTTTTCATATGCAGAGTTGGGCACGAGCAGTATGTCCCAGCTTACCTCATGTCAACTTGGTTCACTTATTTTCTTCATTGCTGTTCAGATTGGCTGATGCCATTTAGCTTGCCCGTGTTTCCACACACAGCTGCATAAGTGATCCTGTATGTATCACAAGAAATGATGCTTCAGCATGTCGATAAGATGCTTTTCAGCATTGTTGAAGATGATCAGAGGGCTGGAGCACCTCCCCTACACAGACAGGCTGAGAGAGCTGGGGCTCTTCAGTCTGGACAAGAGAAGGCTCCAGGGGCACCTTATAGTGACCTTCCATTACCTAAAGGGGCCTACAGGAAAGCTGGGGAGGGACTTTTTATAAGGGCATGTAGTGACAAGGGGAAATGGTTTTAAACTGGAAAAGAGTAGATTTAAACTACGTATTAGAAAGAAATTCTTTACTGTGAGGGTGTTGAGACTCTGGAACAGATTGCCCAGATGCCCTTTCCCTGAAAACATTCAAGGCCAGGCTGGAATTGGGCTTTGAGCAGCCTGGTCTAGTGGAGGTTGTCCCTGCCTATAGCCAAGGGCTTGGAACTACATGATCTTGAAGGTCCTTTCCAAACTAAACCATTCTATGATTCTATGATTCTGTTATATACTTCCCATAATGCAGCCTTCAGGTGATTTTTTTGTGTCAGGAATGGGTGAAGTGACTCCTATCTTAAATGGTTGTATGGTACAGCAATTAACATTTTTATTGTTTTGATGTCAACTCTGTGTTATGTAAACTTTAAATCCCTCTAAAAAGATGGGGACAAGGAAATGGAAGAAGACACTATTACAAATGAGCAAGGTGAAGCTGTGCTAGGCAGTTAATGCCATCCCTCTCTTTTCTCTAGAGTCACCCAATGACAGTATCCAATGACAGGATACTGTAGCCGAATACTTGAGCTGAGAAATTCACGGGATGCTCCTAATTATGAATTCACAGTTCTGGGCAGTTTAGAGTTTGGATCCCAGCACTCCTTTGCCAAAGGTGCAGAGCCGTCATGAAGATGCTCTAAATTGTGCTTTGAACAACATGGCATGTGATTGATAATGCTAAGTACATCAGAGAAGCTAGGCCTCTAGAATTTTTGGTTGTATATTCAGTATCAGCTGATACTTGCAATAATTTCAACTCTGTCAGGATGATATCATCTCCTTTCCATAGGTAAAGTCAAAGCATTTGTGGTGGAAGCAACTTCTGTAAGTATAGACTACATGAAAATGTCCATGAAGAGGTTTGTTATCTACCCTGAGAGTAGAGCTTTGTCAGCTCTTAGTCTAAATACAGAAGATCAGTTTTAAATCCTTATTAACTATCCATTTCATTGACCTAACCTTCTGGCTTCTCCATTTCACTGATCTCCACACCTTTTCTTATGTCTGCCTATTTTTGTAATTTCTTTTTGATCTTCTGCTTCCTGCTGTCACTACTTCCTTGGATCTGGTAAATTTCTGAGATAAATTTTGCCAGTAGGAGGGAGAGCTCCTCAGACCTGCTTTTGGGACCATCTATTCTTGCTTCACCAGCATGTCTCACTGGTGGTCTCACTCCTCATTTCCATGGAGGAGCATCTTGGAGAGTGGCAAATGCCATGTCTAATCAGCTCAAAGAAAGGCTCTGCTACATTCATGGAGGTTTGAATCTATTCAGTCTATGCAAACAATAAAGGTTTTGCAAAAGGCTTATAACTTAGCCAAGTATGGGCAACTTTTTGTAAAAACTTCTCCCCTGCCAACTCTCAAGTTTTTTTCTCCAAAACATGGAGGCACTAGAGCTTTTTAATGAAAGTTATTAAAAAACAAAACAAAACTAGTAATAATAACATGTTTTTCTTTTGGTTGTTCTCAGAAAAGTTGTTCTGTTGTTCTCAGAAATGGCTGAGCCAGTTGAGCCTGATTTATTTATTTTGGAAAGAATCAGCTGAGACAAACTTTCAGCATGGGAAGTTTCAGCCGAACTGGTTAGCCTTTCTCAAAGTTTGGCAGAGTCAAAAGCAAGTGAAAATGGTCTTAGACTGAGAAATCAAGGGCAAGTTTAGTTAATTGACAGTGCTCCTTGTTTAGTATAGAAGGCTATCAACATTAATCGTTGTTTTTGTTTGTTTCAGATTCTTTGAGTATATACTGCTCTATAAAGATGCAGTGATGTTTCAGATTGAGCAAGTTACAAAGCTCTGCTCGAAGATTGCTCTGACTGAGCCATGGGATCCATATGATATCCCTGCCAATTCAACATTTGAAGATCAGTACTACATCGGGGGACCTGGAGATCAAATTATGGTGCAGGAATGGTCTGACAGAAAACCAGCCAGGAAATGTATGTGCATGCTTTAATCTTAATAATAATCATCATCTGCTACCTGGGGAAAAATAAAATTGTTCATGTTTCACCTCAGCCTTCCATGTTTCCATAAAGTTTGCAGGAAGGCACAATAAATATCTCCCCTGTACAGCATATTGTTTTATTATCAACGCATTTTATTAAGAAAATATTTTGTATCTCAGCAGGATCAAATATGCCTGAGGGATTTATTTGTATTTTATTCTGTATCATTCAGATTTTGGCATAGAACAACATCATTTTTTGCCTGAATCCAGCAGCCTGAATGCAAAATTGATCCATAGAATAACAGTAATATATGTAGGTCACTCGGAAAGTAATGCCTCCTATTTATTTCCATGACAACTGCAATAGATACAAGGAGCACAACAGTACTGTTTGATAAAGCAAACTCTCAGCTACAAAACACTTGTTTGTCAGTGTAGTCGCCACCATTAGCTATGCATTTTAACCAGCAGTGGACGAGAGCCTGCATGCCATGCGTGTAAAAATCTGCACCGGTGGAGGTGATCCACTGTCACTGTTGCCCCTGCTGAAATGCACCACCACCTCACTGTGCTGACATCTGTTCTTTGTTCTTCATAAATTGTCAGCAGGTGCCAGCGAATGTCAGTGGGTGCCATTTTTTCCACATGGAGGAGTTCATTTACACACGGCAACAAAATGTAACGGAATATTGGTGAGAAGGTTCAATCTCTACTGCCATACCACCAACACAATAAAATGGGAGGCATCACTTTTGGAGCAGACTTCATAATTGGGAACACAAGCTAGCGTGTCTCTGCTTAAAGATATAACAGAAAGAAAGCAGTTGTCAGCATGTATCTACACACTAGTATCAAATGTCATAGAATACCCACGTATCCATGTGCAGCAATGGACATCGTTAGTACGCACCAAAGTTTTGTTATCCACAGCACTAGTAAGAAACATCTGCTCCCAAGGCTTAGTTCTGCATTTGGCAGGTGAACACCTGCGTCATAAAGAAAGTAGGCTGAATTTTCCAAGATACAGTGTGTTAGATTTTGGATGCAGAGCAGTTTATTAGCACACTGGCTTCAATTTTGTCTATGGTTTAGTGATGACCCAGACAACTATAAAAATAATTTTAAAACCCCATGAAATTTATGGCATTATTCACCTACTGCAGTACTTAAGGTTTTAGCCGCCAAATCTATGGGCTGATTGGGAATCTGAGCATTTAGCCAGGGGAAAATATATATTTTTTGAATAAAAGTAGAAATAAAATGAAGGGTAATATCATTAGACCTCTGTAACTAGGTTGATGTATCTTCTGGTTTTCTACAAGTGACAAGTTATCACTCACTCCAAGAATTTTGTTTTTCAGATCCAGTATTTTGTGAACTTTTATGGAACTTAATATCCTGATACCTTCAGTTAATGATGTGCGATTTTTATCCTGTAGTATTTTAAATTTCCAGTGCTTTTCTGTATGATCATTCTGAAAAAATAATGCCTTAAGTTTGTCTAGTCATTCACCTTTCAGATAATACTTGATGGATTCCAGGAAGTACAATGTTAAAGTTGTGAAGGTTTCAGTGGTGATGCAGAATACCTTGGTAGCATTATATGTTGCTTTATTCTTTCATTCAAAATTCTGATAAAAGACTTGCTGAGGAAAAGAATCCTCCATTTCTGGATACTAAAAAGCAAACTCACTCAGATTAAGACATTCTTGGTACATTACAGTGTCCTGGAGAGGTGTGTTCAACTACTGCTTGGTTTGCCACCCTATTTTTTTTTTAGTTACTGTACGTGCATTTCGTCTCGGAGCTTTTCTGTTTCCAATAATGCTGTTGTGGTACAGCATATGAAACAATACTGGAGGAACAAAAAATAAGTGTTTGATTGCTGCCGAGTGAGAGAAAATAAGTTTCCTTGAGACTGGAAAAAATTTTATACAGATGGTACTCAGAGGAAGCATGTTGTAACCTCATGACTTTCTGCTATAAAGAGATCTGAAGCACATGAAGCAATTGGATAAAGTGGTGTATGATGGAAGGATTAAAGAGAGATCGCAGGAGGGATGCATTAATCAAATACATTTAAATTTGAGGTTTTAAAAGTGAATGGTGTTCAACAGAAACTGCTTTGATTGTAGTAATGTCAGAAATAGAAGTAGTGGTGATAACAGAGGACAGGGGTAGAAGAGAGTGACAGAATGATGCTTGAGATAAGCATCTTGTGGAATTAAACAGAAGCTAAGAAAAAATGACAGACTTGCTGCATCACATATGTGGAAGAGATCAGCATTAAGTATAGTCCAGAGTGAGAGTGACCCAGTAGAAATGTTTAAGCAGAATTACAAAAAATTGAAGTGATCATGATAGTGATCTTATGCACAGATATTGGTAAATAAAAGGTATGAGTTAAGAGAGGGGAGAGAGAGGAGTTGTATTTGGAATATTCCTCTTCTTTGGAGTCTAACCTGTGCTTGAGACAGTAAAATGCAAAAAAAAGTGAAGCAAAGATGTGCGTGTATCACTGTAAGAATGGTGGTTAAAATTTTAGATAACTAAAGGCTGTGAAGGCAAGACATCAGGGATGTTAGTTCTGGTGTAAAGTCTCCATCACAGCAGAAGACAAACAATTAGTTGTGTAGGGGAATGCAGGAGTACGCACAGGAAAAAACTGGATGTCTCATACAGTTGTGGGAACTCTATTGTCTAAGATTGTGTTGAGGTCCAACAATGTGAAATGGACAAGTTTTCAGTAATCACACCTTTCAACTTGTTAAGGCCAGAGTATAAGGTGTTATGTCCCCACACTACCCAAGTTGAAGGCATTCACCTCCTGAGAACTCCCTGAGCATTACAGTGCTTCACTGGTGAGGAGGGTAAATGCTGACATGAAAGTAGCATAAAAGATGAGAAGAAAACAGATTTTTGCAAAACAACTAAATTTGGAACTAAGTAGTTGTGACATTCTTTCAGAAGAGGTACACTTGAAAGGCAACATACCCGTGCCAAGATTGTATCACAAT